CCCAACGTCTCGTAGATGGTGGTCACCAGCCCCGCGATGTCCTGCGCCAGCAACGGACAAATTAAATCAAATTGTTGTTTACTTTTTTAAGCAGCGGTCATGAACAGACAGCAATAACACATTTTGCATCTTTTATTTACATTAAATGGACGGCAGATCTGGTGATACTGACTTATTGATTAATTCATGGATCAGTGTACGTCAACTGTTATGGTCACTAGTTTCGTTAAATTAATTGTTTTTATTACGGGAGGTGGTGATTCCTCCCGATGATATTCCAACGGCCAAATTTCGATTTAATTATTGGGGGTAAAAAATGAAAACGTTTTGATGGTTTTGATCAATTACAATGTATAAAATAACAGCATTACTGCGCAGAGTAGGAAACCATTTAATTAATTGAAAATCTATTCAATTAATGATACAATCTACATTTTAAATTTTCCACTTTATATATACGATGTGCTGGTTTCATTGTGAAATTACAATTTTTACAGATTGTATAGTATGGATTGATTGTGTATTTGATTTCAGCTTTTAAAGAAAATGTATAGTAGCCTATTTATAGGGAAGATGTGAAGTATTTATGGCAGAATAAGGACCCTGGCAACAAATTTTGTTAACATTATTCAGATGTACCAGTTCAGCGTTTATAAGTTAGCCACAAATGATATCAAACTTCCTTATGAAGAGTATCTCTCTGTTTCAATCAGTGCTGTGAAGAGTTTCGCAAGAGATAATTGAATTATTCGTAAAATGTACGTTTCCATAGAATTATTGTAATTGTACATAACCATTATAACAATACGATAACGTCTATGCTGTTGTTGTACCCCTAATTAATAGAGTCAGCGATTTGATATAAAAGGAGACCCCCATATGTTGTTTATATTTAATGGTGCAGGACGATACCACTCCGGTCCAGTCTCGTTTAATGTTTGCCTTAGTCACACAGATCTCAGAAATTCTTCGTAGGAATAAGAACATGATTTGACTATTTTCTAACATATTGCCTACGCTACATATATTCAAGAAAAAAATTGTTAAATTGATTTGGAAATCTATGCCGAGGCATGTGACATTTCATTCCACTCTAAGAATTTGAACTTACAGAAATGGCAATAATCAGAACTTAATATTGAAAGCTTGCTATCAAAGCTAAAAAGAATTTTGACACAATAATGATAATCTCCATGGGACATTTACCTTCAAATACTTGGAAACTTGGTTTCTATTTAGGTCCCCTCCTACCAAAATATTTTTCGTATCAAATGCACGATAAATTGTAATAATCAATCGGCGGATTAATGGGCACGAAAAACTGGAGAAATAGGCAGGCAAAAGAGGCTTTTAAAAAGGCACTATGCATTTTTCTGATCCATATACTTGTGTAGAAAGTTTCTCGAGTAAACAATATAGTAACCTTCATGGATTTTTTCCTTTCATCATTGTTCTGTCAAAACCTTGTAGAAATCCTTACTATCATTTTAGGTCATATCACACAAAAAAGACTGAATCGTAGTAGCTATCTTTTTGCTTTCTATTTAATGCAAGCTGACACACTAATGCTAATGATCTTTCGTCCTCACATTTAATTTAAACATAATTTAAAACATTGTATGATTTGTTTGATTGTCACAAATGTTGTAATAGTGATGTTAAAACAGCACATGCTTTGTCGCATTACACCTAAAGATATTTCAAAATTGCAATTATCAAAAATTTTGAGAGTTTAGCAAAAGAAGACATGCACCATTCTTATAATTGTCCCTTTTTCTATCCGTAGAAAAATATTGTAACGATTTTTGAGATTTGCTAAAACTAATTTGCATTAATTTCAAGCAGAAATTCCGCAACCACCACTTGCTTTTCTAAAAAACATTTACACATTTTTTAAACGTCTGATTTTTAGAAATAATAATTTAAGACAAAAATCTCTGTATTTAATACAGTGCTTTTGCAATGTTAATATTGTGTAACTTTCGAAAATACTGAAAAGAAAGGCATTTATAGGCACCATGAAATTCGCATATGATACTCCTCAAAATGAATAAGTAACCTACAAGATTGCGTTTTCCAATTGAATGATAAAAATAGGCAAGTAGGCAAAAAACCC